AGCGGGTGATATCTCATACTCTGAAATGAATGTACTAGGAGAGTCAATGCTTACAGCTGAGTTCTTTTTTACTTTTCTCTTTCCACAAAGTTGGAAGGAAGAAGAAAACATTCCTCAGATCAGGACGTTTTCTGATTATCATTCCAAGACATTTTTTTACCAAAAAAAAAGAAGGGCTCCAAAGGCAATCCCGCTAGTATGTGCGCTCACTCTAAAACACTGATCCTCTTCATTATTCCGTGTGGTGTAGGTTAGATATACTGGGTGTTGGTGGGATTTGTTCGAGAGTGGCCTTTTTAACTTTTCCAAAACTAGAGGGAATATAGAGCTTTACTGACACTTATAAAGAGGAGGATATTTCCTGTATTTAATTATCTCCGACTTCTACACAGGCTGCTTTTTATACTAAATTCGTGCAAAGTTAAGCCTTTGCCTATGTGGCTGCTTTTTCTACTGGGCCGTTTTTAACCCCATGAAAAGTTGGATTTGGCGGGTGGGAATCTAGGATGACTCCATAGGTGTGTAATTGTAAAGATTATTCACACTTGAAACAACAAAAGGGACCACCTGCATGGGTCTACCAGACAGAGCTGACGGGAAGTGCGGGTCCTTGTGCATTCCTGAAGCACTCTGCTAATCGAAGAAGGTGGTGCTTCTTGGCAGCCAGGTCTTCTTGTGCTGCTTGTACCTACTGAGAGGCTGATAATGTAGTACCGTATGTACAAACCTCCTCCGATCCACTCATCGCAACATCACAATTCGTTATGATGGGTTTTGGTAGCTTGCAAGGGATGGAAGCTCTTGAATCTCCAATCCAATTTCCAATGTCTACAAGAGATAAGTCATGCGCAGTTATAAGAACGAGATCGACTTTGGCATAGAAGAGCGCCGAACTACGACTTCCGAGTTAACGTCTGGAACATGAGATCCATGTAAGCCAAGATATAGAAGAGCACGGAATTCCGACTTCCGAGTTAACGTCTGGAAAATGAGCAGGCAGACAGGTTTGGCCATGCATGTCTTGTGACGTGCCGGATGGAGGCTGGGGAGGAGCCGATTCCCTAGAGCATGATTCGGATTGAAAATTGAAGACGAACTGTAATGCGGGACTCCGCCATCAAGTTGCCTCCAAAAGGGTTGATTAGAAGCAGATAATTCACCCACTATACCGAGTCAAACTTGTGGTCAAAGCAGTACTGTATCGGGGAACATATGCATCACATCGAGCATCTAGAATTTAAATGCTCTCATGAAACGGAAGCGGTTTAGGGAGGAGAATTAAGCCGGTCAGGGGTCACGAGGTGGTGGAGTTACAGTATTCCCAGAACGAAGAGAGATCAATCAAAGCAGATATGAGCTAAGCAGATCAGGAGCCAAAAGGAGATCAAAAGATGCTGACTGTCATGATCATTCCAGTTGGCAAACATGCTAGATGCACGTGGCTTGATTAACAAGGTGAAAATCCCCAAAATTCATCTTCTACTTAATCATGTCATAAGAATTCTACAGGCTATGATTCCTTGCACTTTATGTCCACAATCCACTCCTGTCCTCGTGCAACAACAGGTTTGCCTCTTATCGCATTACTTTCTTCCACTCTTTTCTTTCCATAGATTTGCCTCGGCTGCTTTTCACGTGGTAAACAATGGCATGTTCTGTTTTGCCACACGTCTTGTAATCGAACGCCCCCTCCCTCATTTTTCGGAGAGTTCAAAATCGAAGCCCAGAACAGAGGAGGCCATCCTGGTAAATACAGATAAAAAGGAAGGAAAATCCGAGTCCCCGAGTCCGGAAGTGCCCCAAAGGGTTCTCCCTAGAAGAGCTTGATTTCCCTTTGGTATGGTCATGAGGCCCAACAACATAGTTTCCTGACCATGCCTCACAAAAAGAGATTCGGAATGTCCACTTGACGTCGCTTTTTCTGGCGGGAAGAAATTTAGTGTCCACAGAAATCGACACCATAAAACTGGGAAACCCACACCGAAAGAAAGCAAAAGAAGGGAAGCCAGAGAATGATTCGATTCAAGGACAAAATTGTCGAATTACGACGACCACCTCGGCGACAATAAACGTAGTTTGTCTGTATAGCGTGTACGGGATCCGGATGCATGGTCCCAGGAAAAACAATCCATTGTGCGGAGGGTTAGTGCAGAAAATCAAGGAAGCATATGAGGCTTGTCATCGGTCATGCTGGAGAGAATAAAGGAAAAAGGTTGGGTTAGGGCTCAAATGCAATGCATGTGTCGGAAACGGACAATCACAAAAACATAAAAAGTCTTGTCAAACAAAATCCGTGTTGTCATATGTATCACGCTCGCTTTACAATAAATGTCGAGCTTGTAGCTACGGTAGGGCTTTTGCTTGGCCTCGCAGGTTCAAATCCTGCGAAGGGCCGCGACAATGTAGAGTCATCTGCTATCGGAGTCTAACGAGACCACCGCAACGACTCCTTCCACGTGGAGCGTCGATGTGGGCGAACGAGTGCGACTCGCACGTTCTCTTCGACTGCGGCTCGCGAGCGAGGCGACGGCCTCCTGCTAAGGACTCTCGGTCGCAGAAAGAAGACGTAACGGTGCCTGCCTGCCTGCCTGCCGTGGGAGAGAACTCTAGCTCACTCGCTCGGCTCTGTTCCCTTGATCAAATGCGAGTCCTTCAAGTGGTCCTCGGGACATTTGTTGATATTTTGTGGATGATGAGCACATGATGATGATTTTTGACTTACTCGCCCCCTCCACTTCCGAAGAGGAGACGAGCGAGAAGGAGAGTGAGTGAGTAAGTTACGTACATGCAGTGCGAGAGGCAGTAAATCAGGCGGTCGAAGTTTACGAAGTGGACAAGCGCGAGGGGCTGAATTCGGAATCGGGAGGAAACTTATGAGAAGATTAGGAGAAATGATGGTGGGCTGGTCGGACTGTGGGTGTCGGTCGGGTCGAATGGGGGACACCTCGGGCCCTTCTTGCCTCTCCCGCCATGCGAACACGTCACGGCTGACGCCGCAGGACCGAGTGACTCCACTCCGCCTGACCGTAGTTACCATGCACCGTCGGAGATGGACGGGACGCGCTCGGACTGCCCTGCTGCTGCAACGCAGTGCGCTGTGGTTGGCGAAGGAAGCAAATGCGGACTGTCCCCGCCTGCCCGCGCTGTCCTGTCCTGCACGCGTGCACTGCCTCCAGAGTCCAGAGTCAGTATTCGCTCGCCTCCAGCCCTGACCGCCACTCCCAGCCCCCCGTAGATTGTATAATGACGCGACGCAAGCCGGGGTCGCGGTAAACGCGCTGCGTCGGGATGCCATGGAGCAGCGGCGCGTAATATGTCGTCTTGCTGCCAGGGTCCCGGGAGCGGGCGAACGGACGGGAGCGGGGACGGGGACGGAACCACAGTAACGTCTTCCCACGTGAAGTGGCAAGGGGGGAGCCTGCAGGGATTCGGTGTCTGACAGACCGGGGACCTTTGCGTGCGTTCTGATCTGGTGAAAAGGGCAGAGGCACTTGGAGATAGATTTAGACTTAAGTGTGAAATTAAGAGCGTGTCAGACTAATCCACCCGTGTTTCCCATGCACAGGCGCAGCCACTTATCCGGCGCGGCCAGTAAGTACCCTCTTGCACTCAGGCGAGAGTGAATGGCCGATATTTGGATGCCGTCGTTATCCAACGAAAGGGTGCCAAGCGGACCGTGTCAATCATCGAACATCCGGCATCCGCAAGAGCACGTGGGGCAGTCAATGATTCGCCCCCACTCCTCCCGCCAATTGCCCGGCCTGGCTCTAACGAAGTAACCGGCAGAACTTGCTAGCCCCGGTCCGCTGCGCGGCTGGTTAATGCAGGCGTGACCGGCTTAGACGTCGGCGCAGTTTGCGCTAGAGGCCATTGCCGCTCATTTGGTCGGAATTCCCCAGGGGTCAGGACAGCATGGTTACAGTAACCCGACTTCAACTTCGACCTCGGTTGCGTGAGTTAGATTTAAACGAACGCCCTCCCACAAGAGCTCTGCGTCTCTGACAGCGAACCCGAGCCACTTGAGCAGCTTGACTCTTGACTCTTCTGAGGCACTTGACCGACGACCCGGGCAGCGCAGGCAGGGCAGGGCAGGGCAGCGCATTCCTACTACTATTTCCATCAATGCTCGCTCTATTGACGCTCGTGCGCCCAGGAGCCGGGTTTTCGCCGGTTGTGAGACGTATGAGAGGCGGCCGGGCGGGCCCCACCGCACGCTCTCCATTAACGCTCCTTGCTTTTGCTCTGGCAATTCCATGCCGTCCGTTTAAATGCCAATTAATAATGGACTTAGCCTGATCCGATCTTCCACGGCCCTTAATCCTATCTCACCTAATGGCCACTGCGCTGCATACAAAACAAGGCCCCCCTTCTTAGAAGGGTATACTAGATTCGTTCGCACTCGCGCTCGGCTACCCCTCGCTCCACTAAACTACACTCGCTGCTACACTACACTACAGCGCCCACCAGTCCACCGCTTACGGCTCCGGATTAGTCTCTCTATACGGTGGGGCCGACCGAGCGCGGAGGATGCCTCTAAGGATCGAATCTACTCCTATCCTTAGCTTGAGAGCAGAAAACATTCACGTAAGGCCGGCAATCGAAGAAACCAAACGCGAGTGACAGAACGAGAGAGAGAGAGAGAGAAGAAAAAGAGACGATTCGTTCGCTTAAGGAGCGAGGGCGTGTAAAGTCAAATGGAACGGGTGAGAGAGCAGCAAATGTAATAAGTAACGAACGGAGAAGACGATGACTGCGACTCGATATGGACGGGACGGGATGAGGTCATAGAGGGGTGTGATGGGATGGGTTATGAACAGCGATCATCAGTTAGGATCTGTACTGCACTGTTCGGTTCTAGTCCTGAGGTGAAAGCTACAGTGAGTGCGAGTGATGTGAGCCAGTGCAGTGGAAAGACGCAAGCCAGGAAAGAAAAGACGACGAGACGAGAGACCCGTAATTGGGTTCAGTTTAGTTTAGTTCAGTTTAAGTTGGATTGGGTTGGGCTGGGCTGGGTTGCGTTGGGGTCGATCGGATCGAGTCGAAGTGACGGGTAGGAAGCAAAGGAAGAGAGAGAGAGAGAAAGCTTTTCGTGGAGATGGAGGAGACTACATACATACACTACTAGAAGTCTACACTAGGAGGGGTAACAGTTAGTATTGTAAGAAAGACATCCGGGGGACTGGGGAGGGGGAGAAAGAGATGAGATAATATTTTTGTTTGTTTGAAAACATTACATATGTACGAACGACCACGCACACTGCTGCTGCTGCTGCTTCTTCTTCTTCCGATGGCCTCGCCTTCGTCTTCTTCCGCTTCTGCGTCTAGCCTAGAGCCAAGTCTGTACATGGGTAGCCGCTGCTGCTGCTGCGGCTTTGGCTTTCTTTCTTCTCTCCCAAGAATTCTTGTGCTGCCTGCCATGTAAGAAATTCACACATCCTGCCTCGCCTCGCCCACCCGCCCGCTCGCCCGCTCGCCAGCCAGCCAGCTTTCGATCGTCTTCTGTCTTGTCTACACGGCTTGTCACCTTCTCATCAATCTCTCCTCCTGGTAGTAGTCGCTCAGCGGGCCATCCTCAAAAACCCAGCCCGCCCTCCCCACATCGTCCACACTCCATTACACCTGCGCTGCGCTGCACTCCGGTCCACAGCCACCGAACCCATCGCGGAAGCAAAGTTAAGCAAGAGGGTGGGGGAGCAGGTCGAGTGCCGCAGTGGGGGCACTCTTGAAGCCCAGGAACAGCAGCAACAGCATTGCAGGAGTTGTTGGTTCCGCGCTGCCATCTTCCATCCATAGGAGGGCGAGCAGGACGAGGAGGACGAGGAGGGCATGCCTGTCACATTCATTCTCTCTACACACAGAAGCAGATATATCATCCCCTCGACTTTGTGTTTCTGATTGCCTTTGTACGGCGCCCGTAATCCGAAATCTGTCAACTTCCTTTTCTGCGAGAGGTCGTCGCAGAAAGATTGCGATATCCGGCGATACATTATTATTCTGTCAAACGGTGGGCGATGATGAGCCACTAGTCAGAAAGCTGTAGGAAACCTTGGACAAAATTGCGGATTTCATTTAATTCAGACGCCTGTGAGAAAGTGGGCCGGGGTTCGTGACGTCGAGCTAATTCTCCAGTCCGCAAGAATGACCAGGCCGGTCTGTGCCGCCTCATAGCATCATCGCCGCCGCTCCCCGGACACTCATATGAGCTCTTCTGACTCTCCTATGCCTCGTTCCCGCTTCATTCCGAGCTCTTGAGATGGCCACGACGGCTCGCCTCTAACACCCACCTCGACCAGCATCGCAGACGTCCAAGCTCCGCCTGCGACACGGCATCCGCGACTCAGGACAAGGGCCAGCGGAGGCACATGGGCGCTCTGAGGCGATGGATGTAGAGGGGAGTGCATTCGAGAACGATATGGCCGCCGATGCTGGTCCCGCAGGTGCCGGGTCTCCGTCGCACATAACCTGCTCGTCTTCTGCTCTGTCGCCTTCCAAAAGCAATCCGCCCATGACACACAACGACGGCCCTTGCAATGGAAGCAACAAGCGCAAACGCCGACCGGCCGGCACTCCTGGTAAGTCAGCTCGCTTCAACCCCTTTCTCTCGAGCTGTGGAATGCGGCACATTGACGGATACCGTTGCAGCATCGGCCGACGAGCCTCTCTCGCATGCCCCGCCATTAATCTTTCGCATGTCTCTCACACGGGCGTTTTGATTGTGGCGGCGATGGTCACACCCCGAACGACCGACAATCTGGAACGCATTCTCCCGCGTTCCACTGTGACACCGATGCTTCCAGTCTTGACGACGCGGGTCGAGGGCCTGCAGCGTGGGCGACTAAAATTCTCCAAATTGACCCGTGGGTTGGAAACGGGCTCGAATCAATCGTCGGCACAAACTCCTGCGAGCGCCGACGATTCCTCAAAGAATCGCCGTGTGCCTCCGTCGAACCGCTTTGGACGCATTGGACGAGTGCCATCTGCTGCTCATTCTCTGGGAGTGAGCTGCATAGTATCTGAATCGACCGTCTCCGTACATCGTTCACGGCCGACTTAGGACGCTAATCATGCTCGTACGGCTCTCAGCTGTCACCTGAAGTACCAGCGCTGTCGAGCATCCACGAGCAATTGTGACTTTTGCAAGGGTTTTGGGAATGGGGTTTGATTGTTACCGAAGCTTGGTGCAGAAGGGAGCGCACGGCCGGGAGAGAGCTAGTTTAGATAGTGGAGTCCGCAGTCGTTTGCTCTCTAATCCAAGCTCGCTGCGATGAGAAGCTGATGAGAAGTGTACATCATGCTCCATGATCAGAATAAGCCTAACGTGATGTGTTGGTGTCTTGATAGATCCAGATGCAGAGGTTGTGGCGTTATCACCACGCACCCTGTTGGAATCAGACCGATATATCTGTGATATCTGCAGTCAAGGATTTCAACGAGACCAAAATCTCCAAATGCATCGTCGACGTCACAAGGTGATGATTCCCGGTTATTTTGTGTATAGAGATTTCTGATCAAGAAGCTGCACCAGGGATTGTCTTGCGTGCACTACTGCGGCGTTCAAATTTTACAGTTGACCAATCGGAATTGTAACCGGGCGAATTCTCAGAAGGAATGGCATTCTTTTTAACGCTTGCTTTGGCTCTGCCTTCTTTCAGGTCCCATGGAAGCTCCTGAAGAGACAGACGACAGATACTCGCAAGCGGGTGTACGTCTGCCCCGAGCCTACATGCTTACACCATGACCCAAGTCACGCATTGGGCGACTTGGTTGGGATCAAGAAACACTACCGTCGGAAGCACAGCACAGACAAGCAGTGGAAGTGTGAGAAATGCTCCAAGGGCTATGCTGTGCAGTCTGATTACAAGGCACATCTCAAAACGTGCGGAACTCGGGGTCATTGTTGTGACTGCGGACGGGTATTCTCCAGGTAAAGAATCGTTCCGGGATCTGCTCAGGCTTGCATTGATCGCAGACCATGCGTGTTTGTGCACATCCATTTCACTCCCGAAGTCCTTTGCAACCAAACCTCCACGAAGCTTCATGAGTCTCCTCAAAGATCCCGTTCAGTTGCACGTGCGGACACCAGTTCCAGGAAAGTTTTTTCAGATGTGCTAGAGAAAAAAAATGTCGTGCATTCTACCTTCGGATAAGAGAAGGGGCAATTTCCAAAACTTTTTGAAAACCATGCGGAGCACATTACGCGAGGCCCGTGGTCACTCGTCGATCACGTCTGCTTGCGTTGCGAATATATGTAACATGCATGAGGGATTCACCCGCACAAGAATTTCGTACGCACCGAATGTAAGTCTGAACATCGACGATTTTCATCAGGAACGAGCACTGATTATGTGGCCTCACTTATTTGCAGGGTGGAGAGTTTTATCGAACACCAAGATACGTGCACTGCAGCGAAGGAGAAGTCGGCCTTGCAAATTGGTGGATTGGTGGGCGGGAGTCAAGCGAATCGGGGCCTCGCCGACAGTCCTAGCAGTCGGTCTCTCTCCACGGAATGTCTGAGTGTTGATCCATCGCGCTCAGCTTTGTCTGATTCCGCTGTCATGCCAAGTTGTAGCGAGTACGGCGACATGCCTGTGAATAGCTCTTCACCTTCCGGCAATCAGCAGCATTGGATGATGCTCGGCGATAGTCGGGAGCTCCAATTGCTCCCGGAGGAGTCCGGCGGTTCGAGAGGATCTACCAGCATGATGGTCATGTCGAGCACCAGCGGTGGGAGGAGGGTAATTCCTGTCATCGAGCTCAAATGCAACACTCCTCCGACCGCTCAAAGTGCAGGAGGGTCAGGAGGAGGAGGCGGAGGAGGAGGAGGGGGAGGAGCCGAGACTACACCTGGGTTGCAACTCTCCATAGGTCCATACTCAAATACCGAGGACGCCTCGAACCTTCGAGACAAGGCTTCGATTTCGATGATCGGACCATCTCTTCCAGATGTGTACGAGGTGAAACCAGTCACGGCCACGGAGAGGGCGGCATTTTCCAGTATGCAGCAGCACAGGCTTCAGCGAAGAGCGAGCGAGGGCAGTAACAGTGAGGTAAACACAGCGGTGGCCGGCTTGGGAGCCTTGCAAAGCTTGACGTCGGCAAGCTTACGAGGAGGAGGAGGAGGAGGAGGATCAGGCTCAGCGTTAGGAGGAGGAGGATTGGGTTCCAGCGTCGGCCATAATGGATGTGGCGGAATCGGCGATGGATTGACGTTATCGAGCTCATCGCCGCCTACCACTGCGACGAGCTGCGCGCGAGGAGGGGGAGGTGAGTGTTCCGATGTTGCGCAAATGCATCATCTTCTGAAAGGACCCGCGGGCGCTCGGAAAAACGTGAGCAGCAACTTATTGCTAGCCGGGGTCAAGGAATCGAGCCTTCTGTCGAGGAGAAGGAGCAGGTCACCGAATCAATATCAACAATATGATATGCACAATGGTCAATCTGATTTGGTAGTTGTGCCGGCCTCCACAGAGTGCATGGGTGGTGCATGGGGGCAGGCGAACAGACAACAGAATGCTCCCCTCACGCCCACCACCCCATCGACCACCAATGGCGGAACTTATGTGACCGACCTCGAAAGCGAAACTGCGATCATGCCAATGCGCAACCGACAATACGGAGGCGGAGGAGGAGGTGGTGCAGCGGCGCGCGAGCACATGGAGGCAGCCTTGCGCGCCATGGAGGAGGCGTCTCGGCACAAGGACATGGCAAGCAATGCACGGGAGATGGCGCGACCCGATGTGGGAAGTGCGTGGTGGACGGACCTCGCGGCCGCTCGCCGAACCAAGGAGCAAGCACGAGTGGAGCGCGAGGAGGCCGAGTCTCAGCTCGCGCAGGCCGAGCTACTCAAGCAGGAAGCTCGCGAGCAGATGAAGCTGGCCTCGGCCGAGAAAACGTACGCCGAGCATGCGCGAGAAAATGCCAAGAGGCAGCGCGAGCTGGCCGAGTCGGAGCTCAATTCGGCCAAGCGCGTTCGAGAGCAGGCGCAGTCTGATTTCGCCAAAGCGCAGATGTTGAAGGAGCAAGCGGATCGTTTCATGGACGCAGCGTCGGGTCGCCTTTCGGTCGCAGCAGTCATGAGCAATCAACCGAGCACGGATGCAAGTAGTAGTGCTCAAAGTGAGCAGCAGCAGCAGCAGCAGCAAAACAACAACAACAACAACAGCGTCAGCGGCAGCAGCAGCAGCAGCAAGAACAATCAACGGCAAGTTCCCCCGTGCCTCGACTTCACATCTCTCCCCTTACCCAACTTCTCCTCAACTTCATCCCCTTTTCAGATTTCCACACCGCCTCGGTACCCGTCGAGCATGATTCCAGTCACATTCATCGGCACCTCTGCCATTTGTCCGCCCCCAATGTCTCTACCTCCATCCTTTGACACCGTCTGCACCACCGCTGCTTCACACTCCACTTACTCCTCCTCCATGGTCACCGAGGGTCATCTACGCACGCCAAAGCCGGAGATGATATAGTTTAACAGCTGATTTGTGGCTCCGAAAGCAGTGCTTATCTCCTGCTGCGCGGAATTGGTGTGAAGGCCGCAGCCGCCACCATATGAGTGAGTGAGTGAGTGGGTGTGTGTATGTGAGTGTGTGAGTCTGTGTGAGTGTCGCGTTCATTCCATCTCTCCGCCGGTTGGAAATTTGACATTGGAGTATTAAGAGCTCAAATGTTACGGCCGGCAATCTGCTAGCGACTCGATCGGTCGTCGTAATAGAGCGGGCGAACTGGTAGGGGATCAGGAGGAGAACATCAAAACGCGATGAGGAAGCATGTACACGCCACGCCACGCCTCGCCCATCCCACCTGACATGACGGAAGAGCACGAAGGAGTGGGGGTGGCCTTCACAGCTATACCACGCATTACAGCAGCAGCAGCAGCTCCAGATTCTTCCGAAGTACAATTTATTCTTCCTATACATGTACATATAGGAAGCAACAGGCAGCCAGATGCAGCAGGCGGCAAATGTAGCACAAGTTTGTAGATCTAGTCTCACTGACATACTGACCGGTCAAATGTCAAGACCCGCACGGACACTCGAGCACCTGGCTGAAAGAATTTATGGCACATGGTTTTCTAATGCTTGGATTATGCCACAAATGCGCATTGCTCTCGCGCTTCTGCCCGCCTCGCCCAACCCTGCCCTGCCAGCCTGCAGCAGTTGTATGACTTGACTGTCTCAGGAGGAGAATGGGGAGCAAACCAATCCTCTCGCATTCATTCAATTACGAAGGAATGGCCATGCATACACGCCCATGCCGGAGGAATGTCTATCATGCACTCTGTTCAACTGCTATAAATGTGGTCTACGAAGTTGAATGGCTGCGATGGGCTTGTTACAGAGAAGCGTGTACGGTAGTCGAAAGCGACCGCAACTGCCTGCTACTGAGTCGCACTGTGGCGGGTTCGGTTGGGTTCAGTTCAGTCGAGTCAGGACTTGGATGTTGTAGCACTGTAGGAGAATTGGGGTTAGGTTGATGAATCTCGAAACTAGCCAGCATTCTGTTTGCGTTCCATTTACGGGTCAGCAGCATCTACTCCTCTAACCTCCAATTAATGCTGCCTTGCTCGACGACCGGATCTTGGGCAAAATGTCTGCTCCATGGATCGTGCGAGCAAGATATGGCAGAGTAGAGCTGTAGCTAGTTAGATTAGCGAGCCAGGAGTTTTCGGTTTTACCGAGTCAACAGTACACTCAAGTTTTTCAAAGCGGATGTTCTCCACCTCCTTTACCACGAGATGAGGAGGAAGGATACGCTGACCTAGCTGAGCTGGTCGACTGGTCCGGTCCGGTCCGGTCCCTCGTATCGATCATCTTCATGAAAATGATTGGATTGGAAAGCGAATTTTATATTTTACATTGCGGCACAGGGCTGTCAGGACGGTGAATAAAGGTCCATACATTTGGTGCACAGTGCTGTGGTGTTGGGACTGATCGATGGTGCTTGACCTTTTGCTCTTGTAATCCCCCTGTAGATAATGGATTCAGTCGTCTCATCCGTGCCCAGATGTGTCAGGAATCTCGGTATCTCGCCTGTCCTCAGGATTGGAGGGCGCACTCTAGCTAAGAAACTCCTCCCCACACTTTCAGGATCTCGGACGCAAGGCAAGGCCAGGCCAGGCCAGGCCAAGCATTCCAGAGCGAGCAGTCCTCTCCTCCTGCACATCCCACATCTGAGGCGTCCTCGGGCTAGCGTGCCGATCCCCCTCCGGTGTGCTCGCGCGCCTCGCCTTGCTCTGTACATATGTCGGTGAGGTTGATTGTTGTGGCATGTCGAGGTGAGGACAAACGAGCGCAGTGCTCACACATGTACATGTGGAAGGTGCACAGTACGTACTCTGCTCAGCGCTTCCCAGATTACAGCTGCTTTCAACGTCGTCCTGAGTGGGCGCGCTGCATTCCAAAGTTTGCGGTCGAGTGAGTCCAAGCCGTGAGAACCTAGACGATGGCAGAACCGGGCGTATGACATGGTCTAGGCCAGTATATATACACATACAGACAGACAGGACGACAGATGAGAGAGTGCTTCTTCGCAACCCTAGAACAACGCAACGCTACGCTACCGGGTGCCAGATTAGCTCGTGCTTGTGTAAGATTGGATGAAGGTGGGTGCCGAATATTATATGAGTCAGTGTTTTGGTTTGCTCACACAACTGCCAGTGCAATCTTTCTCTCTCTCTCTCTCTTCTCTGTGTGTCTGAACGAGGCTCGCTGGCTGAGGACGGCACTGTGCTAAGAGACGAGTACCTCTCTCTCATCTCTCTACGCGAATCTGAACCCCATGGCAGAACTAACCTCTTCGCTTCGTCTCTTCTCTCCCTGCCATGCACGCATATTATAAGCCTTTCTTCTCTCTCTTCATTGGAATGGTCGAAATGGTCGAAATGGCCAAAATCTATGACAGATGCCGCTAGCTTAAAGTGCATATTCTGTATTCGTTGTTATGGTTACACTAGACCTATTAAACCTTGACCAAATCTCCAGATCTCGGTCTGACCGGTGGCCTTCGTGGACAGTCTGGCCGGATGAAGCAGAAGGAAAAATCGTGAATATATATCATTAAACCCGTAGAATAGGGGATGCCGATATGGCTGGGAAACTCGAGCGAGGGTTTACTTTTGGCAGTTACCCAAAGGCCCCGCATAGCTTTCTGGCCTGCAGCGGATGTCATGGGTGGTTAGAGGTGAACTTTAAAGCCCCCGAGGCGCAGTGAGCGTAAGTGAAAGGGTACGCTTTGGAAGAGGGAAATTACCGCAGCCGCTGCGAATGAATGATTTTGTCGAGATGAAGAGCAGGCGAGGAAGAAGCAGCACAAGTGCACTGTCGTCGACTCGATCGGTGGGTGGGTACCACCGAGGTCACTCGAGCAGGAGCAGGACGTGGACGTGGACGACGAGGGGAGGCGATAGGAGTGTAATCGAGCGCAATATATACACGGGTCCTGATCAGCGCAGAGAAGACGCGACGGAGCCAGAGGTGTAGGTGCAGCAGTGGGACAGGCGATTCCTCCTTGACACTCAGGACAGGGCGGGTCCATGGCCTAGAGGGCTGCTGCTGCTGCTGCTGGTCGCGATGAAACGCATTGATCTTTTTGTCTCGGCCAAGTACACAATTAAACCACGGTGACATCTCTCGCGCAGTAGAACTACAGACAAGCAGACAGCCCCACGTAGCCAGATGCAAGCGCGCGGACGCAGGGAGGGGCCATGCCATGCCAGGCCCGGCTGACATTTATGTTCCTCTTGAAGCGCGAGCGTGGTGCTCAGTCAGATGAAGAAGATGTGTGCTCAGGCGGGGCACGCCACGAATCCTACCGTAGCCCTTATGGACTCCGTCGGCGGGCCCGACTCCTCACGGTGCTCCACTGCACATGAGCTCCCCCCATCGCATTGCCCTTCCCTTCCCTTAGGGGCTTTCTGGATGGCTTCTCTGCAGGTCGGGCCGGGGCGAAATGATTTGCTGCATCCTGTCCCGGGCTCGGGAGGGCCCCGCCGTCGACATTGTAACGAGGTTTGTAAACGACTGCAGGAATCTGCAAGCGTTACGAGACAAATCAACATCACCTAGGCTACATTCAAACCGCGCCTAAGCTTAGCTGACAGTGCTACGACAGTAACTCCCATTCCTCCAGGGCCCCCCAAGAGGAGAGTCGCAGAGGAGACGAGACTCGAAGCCTCGAGCTGCTTCCTTTATTGCTCGACAGTGCTCCCGCTCCTGGATTTCGCTCGCTTTTCGGGCGAGCCACGGTGACCCAAACAAGCCATGCTCGCCCTCTCGGCTGGCGCGCGCGCGGGCAGGCAGGCAGGCAGGCCGACAGACACCCCGAGGTGCCATAAATGCACTTAACGGTGGCAGTCAGTCTTTTAAGGGAGGTCACGTTGCGTCGAATGCAGGAGAGAAGCACCTCGAGCTTACATTCCGGACTAAACGAACGTCGAAACGAGGTCTGTCGATTTAATATTGTTGGTGGTCATCCCATTAAGTAGAGTCGGCATTTCGGCTCTTTCTGAGCCCCGGGGTCCAGATCTCGTATTGAAGGCATGCATTCGGCTCTGAGGCTGTCACCCATCGCACATCTCGAGGAATTGAGGTAAAGTTTATCGCACATGTGGCCGGCGGGCTGTGGCGTCAAGCTTGAGTCCACCCTCGAAGGAATGTCTTCTTCTCTCGTGCTTCGTCGCTCGCTCGCCTCCATGAATGAATGAATGCCTGCCTGCCTGCAGCTTCCTGACGACGACCCATGGTCTGGCTCTGTCTGGTCGCGTGCACCTTCGATGAAGGACGTACTATATCTACGCGTGCTCTCCAAATATAAAGCTCATGGTGTGCATAGTGCCACTGTGAGGAGGTACGCGAGACTATTTTAGATGGACGATCGCTGTTGCGCTTGATTCCGATCGAGTACGGAGGTTTGACTGGTTGAATTTTATTTACAGAAACTTGTATTCGTCGCGCCTGTTCAACCTGATGTATATTAAAGTCGTTCCATGGCATGCGTGGACATCAACTCTATCAAACTATCAGTCAATCGGCCGGTTCGAACCAATCCTCGAAGCCGGCTGGCTTGGCAACAACTGTCAAACTTGTACCAATCACCGAAATCTGGTGACTCAGGTGCCTGCGTCTGAAACTCCCAAGCCAAGGAGATGCTGGGCAGTAGGCAAAATCATGAACAGATCTCGATGCCCCAAAACGTTCTAATGAGCTCCAGGAAGCACAAGCAGCAGATCTTGTCTCCTCTGATGGATGCAGATGGATGCCATAGGATGGATGGCAGGATGGCAGGATGGCAGGCAGGCAGGCAGTCGGGCTGGAGGAATCATGAATCGGATCGGATCGGATGGATGGCTCGATGCCTATGTATCGATGGCCAGACTATTCATGGTGTCGAGCCTGGAATCCAGCACACACAGTCGACAATAGTTCACATATTTACAGATTCGTTGACCACCAATTTCAGCTACTACCGTAGCATTATAAGCAGTCGTGTCATCTGAAACTCGAGGTCTGCCTGTCCGCCCGGCCTGCCCGTCTGTCCATTTAAACACCGCTTAAGCTCGTGTTAGCGTGCATCAGCATTGACTCTGCTATTAGCTGCGATCTACTCTTCTCTATGCTGCTATGCACGGAACTTTGAATGTTCAGTCAAGTATGTGTAAGCGACATTCAAGTTATTCTCCCGGATGTGCGTGGAGTACCACATCTTTCTTCTTTTACTACCACTACCACTCTTCGAAAGACAGCAACCAGTACAGTGAAGCAGCTTGCATTGCATTCGACTGCACTGCACAGCATCGCATCGGGCCAAGCTAGAGCACCAAACTTTGGTGCACTTCTACGTAAACCATCTTGGCCGTAGCCCTGCCCTGCGCGCCATTTCGAGCTCAATTGGATGTCATGATCCATCGAAACGCTTTCCAAACTATGTAAAGTGAAAAGCGCTGCGGAGAGCACTTTCACTTTCATCTGAGGCCGGGTTGGGTGTGGACCATCGGGTCAGACCAGAGTCTTAGCTTGCCTCAGCATGTGAGGGAGGATGGGGCAATCGTGAAAAACAACTCAGCTACTGCGAGTGAAAGTGCGAGCGCAATGAAGGGGCAACACCGAAATGTCGACCGCTGTCATGGCTGGCCGCAGTACCGTCTGGTTCCAGACTTTCTACCGCATGAATGCCGGATCCGGAGGCACAGGACCAAGGCATGTCAGTGCAGGGGTGAATCGAGTTCAGTTAAGATGGTTAGTACGAACGTCATCCCCAGAGGATGCTTAGTTCTGTCCGCAACTGGAGAAGAAGTGATTATGTGCCTGCCTGCCGCTGGTGCTGCTGAATGGATCAAGTCCTGTCTGTGGCACTGGTGTATCGTGGTAACTAGACATCTTGCTGTCCGTCTAGCTACCGTGCAGTAGTAGACCAGACCGCCCATGGGTCCGCGTCCATCTGAGCATCTGAGCACTCCTGCATCTTTCGGTGCGGAGGTGACTTCAAGGCACAGGTACTCATTTCAGCTGACTTACGGCTCCTTCATTCATTCTCTAGGCACTCACGAGGTAACTCGAAAGGGCTCGAGTAAACTAAGCGAGACGAGAGCTCACGTTAGTCGGCCACACATTGCATTTGCTGGGACATGGGCTCGAGTTACCAAAAAAAGTTTGCGGACAAAAGCTCCATGTTACCTCCAGATTCCAACGATGATGCTGCTGCTGCTGCATTGAAGGTGACTGGACAGTGCACGAGCTGCTGCTGCTGCTGCCGCTGCCAAAGTGGCAAGGTGGCAACAAACCTGCGTAGCTTCACTTTTCGTTGTTGCTCCCTACATCGGATCGGATGGCATTTCGGTGAAATTTTCTAGATCGCAGATTCATTCGTGATTATTCGAGAAGACGAAGATTATTCGAGAGTGAAAGCCG